TTTCCGCTCCAGTCTCCCTTTCTGACCGAATTGGCACGCCTACCAGCGAGTAATCACAGGTAGCTTTCTTCCATTTGGGATTAGGAAGCTGTGCCTTGTGATCCCCTTAGCATTTGTTTGTGGGCAGATTAAGTACTCCAAGGGAGTGACGAGTTTCCTTTCCCTTGGAAGGAAGCGCAGAGGTCTCTGGGTGCCTCAGCAAGTGTAGGGGCACGACCCCCTTCTGCCTCTTCCACCGAGACACTGCAGCAGAACTGACCTTGGGCATTCGCCTTCCCCGTTCTGTCTACGTAGCATCTTCACAAAAATAACCAGGTTAGAAATAGTGCTCGCGTCTGCCTGTTCTGTTTATTAGGTGCAAGGCACAGACTTTTGGAAAACTGTAATTAATCAATTCATCCTTTAAAGCCCCCCACCTTAAAAAACACACAAAGAAACAAAAATTTATTGGTTTTGAAACAAATACAAGAACCATTAAACACTTATCCAGCAGCACATTTGTGTAAACGAACGAAATCAAGACCGGGTTATTTTCTCAGTGGAGAGGTTAAATAATAGGTTTGAACATTGAATATGTATGTAAGCTTATGTCTAAAGTCAGTGGACAGACCTTTTTTCTTTAACACTTTTACAACATTGGTGGGATCTTCCCGCTTATGACATCTGCCCTGTAAAAGCAGGCTTCGTTTAAGCACCCTTCACGGAAACTAGCTGTAAATTAGAAGATGCAACTGTTTGGCCTGTTTTACTGGTGGTCCCATGTTCTCTCCCCAGCCAGCACTGCAGCTGTTTCAGGTTTCTCGGGGAAGAGAGAATCTGTGGGTGGGTTGCAAGTTTACGCTTGAGCTGCCAAGTGGAGAGATGGAATGACTCCACCTTCCCAGGAGCAAGTTGGACCAAGATGGGGCGAAACCAAAACAGCGAGTCGTAATCTTGCTGGTTTGAGGTGGAACTGCGAAAGCTGGTTTTCATTTGGGATTCTGGTGTCTGTGAAGGGCTGAGACAATCAGCTGCCCACTTATGACAGCATAACGCCTTACGATGGAGATAAGCAACTGACAGCCAGGGAGCAGGGAGAGGGAGGGAGTCAGGTCTTCCATGGGCTTCCCATCTGGCCTCCAAAATACTCCCTCATCTCTGTTCATTAACTTCCAGCCACTTTCTCCCAAACCCAGATATTGGGTGAGCTGTGAAAACATAGAATTATGGAGGGAGTCTCTTCCACCATCGAACTGCTCTTACCATTGGAAAGTTTTTCCTGATGTTTAGTCGGAATCTCCTTTCTTGTGAATTGAAGTCATGGCTTCGAGTCCTGCCCTCCAGAGCAGGAGAATATAAGCTTGCTGCATCCTCCATGGGGCAGCCCATAAGATATTTGAAGATGGCTGTCCTATCTCCTCTCAGTCTCCTCTTTTCCAGATTAAACATCCCCATCTTCTTCAACTTTCCTCCTAAGGCATGGTTTCCAGACCCTTGATCATCTTGGTTGCCCTCCTCTTCACCTGTTCCGAGTTACCAATAACGTCCTTAAATTGTGGTCCTCTAGAAGTGGTTGGACTTCGACTCCCATCAGCCTCAGTCAATGTGGCCAGTGGTCAAGGATGATGGGAGTTGTAGTCCAGCTACACCTGGAGGGCTACAGGCTCCCCACCCCAAAAGGGCTCCTCTAATTATTCCCTTCCTAGCATAAAACAGCAGCCGTGGCCTTGGCCAGGTTCACCTCTGCTGATTCCCACACGGAGGAACCCTTGGGTACGGGCATCCATGGTGCATCGTAAGGGCACTGCTGCGCCAAGGCAGAGCAGGAAGGTGGCCAAGATCCCTTTGCCTCTGTCTCAGCTGGTATGGGAGTGAGTCAGAGGTGACCCTTCAGGTGTTGCTCGATTCAAAACATCATCCCTTTGAAAAGATAGTAACAAAACCAGCTGCTCATCAAGGCTCAGGCTGTATTTACGGGGCGACAGCGTTACTGAGCAATAGTATCTGTGCATTGTTAATATGAGAGCCATGCTATAGGTTATAAAGGAGAAATAAGCAGATTGGACCCACCAGTTGTAAATGTTGGGACAGAGGCGATGTGAGATCCCCAGTAGGGTGGATGTCTAAAGGTAAAGGTAAAGGGACCCCTGACCATTAGGTCCAGTCGTGACTGACTCTGGGGTTGCGGTGCTCATCTTGCTTTATTGGCCAAGGGAGCCGGCGTACAGCTCCTGGGTCATGTGGCCAGCATGACTAAGCCGCTTCTGGCGAACCAGAGCAGCGCACGGAAACACCGTTTACCTTCCCGCCGGAGCGGTACCTATTTATCTAATTGCACTTTGACATGCTTTCGAACTGCTAGGTTGGCAGGAGCTGGGACTGAGCAACGGGAGCTCACCCCGTTGCGGGGATTCAAACCGTCAACCTTCTGATCAGCAAGTCCTAGGCTCTGTGGTTTAACCCACAGCGCCACCCGCGTCCCAGGGTGGATGTCTATCTCTTGCCATTTACTCACCAATAGGTGGACTAGATTAACCTCAGGTGCCCTTCCAACTCTGCAAATCTAGGATTCTGTAAGCTCTGTGTGTCATTAGTATCTCTTTACAACCATAACGAGTGCTTTAAAAATTTCCCAAAGCTGGGCTACACAACAGATGAATAGATTTTATGTTGTTGGGCTCTTTCCTGCGTAGCAGCTTTGAAACCATTTCAATCACATTCATATGAATATTGTACTGATGGGAGCGATTTGGGAGCAGCTGAAACTTTCCATCTCCTTTCCTGGATATGCGAGAAAACGTTGGGCAGGCATCTGTTGAAGTTTTGGGTACTGGGCATCCTGACTCCGGGCAGGAGGTGGTTGAACCAGGTGAGGCACCGAATACGTTCAACCTCTCTAATTATGGGAATGATTAATCCAACAAGGAGAGTTAAATCAGATTTGGTCTCTGCCGTTTCCGATTCCGAGGTTTTGAGAAGTGTCCAGTGTCTGTGGCAGTGTATCCAGCAGTGGGAACCAAAGAAATTGGCTTTTCTTTCAATTCCCATCCCGGAGCATGAAATGCTTGTTTCTCAGCTCAAACAATGCCTTTCTTTGTTCTAGGTATCTAAACCACGTCCGAGCCGCCTCCCCGCAAGATCTCGCTGGTGGCTATACTTCCTCCCTTGCTTGTCATCGAGCCCTTCAAGATGCCTTCAGCGGGCTATTTTGGCATCCTGGCTAGGTTGGGAGTAACAGACACTGGAGCGGAGCGAGCAAAGCAAAAAACCTCAGGTGAAAATTGCTGCCGTCTGCACTCTGGCCAGGCTGCCGCCTGTCTTTCCTTCCTTTTGTGTGTGTGAAGCCAGCTGCGCTTAAATATTAAAAACATGATGTACAGAAACTTTCTTTTTAAAATGGTGGTCATGTTTCTTCTTCTCTGGTGGAACGAGGGTAAGGGTGGGAAAGGCTCTAGTCACTTTGCAGCTAGAGGCTATTGGAAGAGATAATGATTTTGTTTTGTATGTTTTAAGGTTTCAGAACCAGACTTGTAAAAGATTTTAAAAATAAAGTCAGATTGTTGTGATTAAATTCTGCAGATTATGCCGCTGCACTTCAGGGTTTTATTTGCACAAGCACTGAAATGCTACTTTTATATATTGTAGCTCTGCAGTAAGGGCAAAGTTCTTTCATCTCATAAAACTGGCTTCTCCTAATGCAAATGGGGGTTTCCTTCCTTGAAATATGATACAAGAACCGGATATGGGACTGATTTCTAATTCACTCTACAGTGGTACCTCGCAAGACGGAAAACTCGCAAGACGGAAGGGTTTTTGGTTTTTTGAGTTGCTTCGCAAGGCGATTTTCCCTATGGGCTTGCTTCGCAAGATGGAAACGTCTTGCAAGTTTGTTTCCTTTTTCTTAAAACCGTTAATACAGTTGTGACTTGACTTCGAGGAGCAACTCATAGCACGCGGTGTGGTAGCCTTTTTTGAGGTTTTTGAAGACTTTGGTGATTTTTGAAGCTTTTCCAAAACTTTTCCGAAACCGTGCTTCGCAAGACGAAAAAACCGCAAGACGAAAAAACTCGCAGAACGAATTAATTTCGTCTTGCGAGGCACCACTGTACTTTGCATTCTGAATTATGTAAGTTAGAATGATTGTGCGGCAGAATGCAGCAGCTCTATTAAGAATGTCTCATCTTTCCTGCTGTAGAATAAAATTGCAAGGGTGCCATCATGCTGCAGTTTGCATGGCTGCCTATATGATATATTGCCTATATGATGACAGAACTGTAGTGGGGGCAGGCAAGCCACAGAGGAACAGACAGGATAGGACAGGGCAGCTCCTTTGTCACCATCACGCTCACGTCAGTGCCACTGTTGTGGCCTTAGCAGCATACGAGTACATTGGAAAACACAACTAGGATTGTCATCAGTATCACTTGATACCCTTGCTCTCATTTTGAAAATACATCTATCCATATTCTTCAAATAAAAAAATATTTTGACACTGTATTGTACAATCTATGCAGAAATGTTTAAATGTTTGTCCTTGAATCTTCCTGCCATACCTGCCTTCCTCCCCTGTCACACCAGTGTGCCGCACCACACCTTTTGAGAACCACTGATTTAGACAGTACTTTGGAGAGTTGCAAGTGCTTCGTATCTAAGCCCAATGCCTGAATTCATGGCGGTTGCAATTTCCGGATTTGCAACCCAGTCTCTTAGCCACAACCCTATACCACTAAATATGCTAATTTTAATTCAGTGGAATGATGCAGAGTGTCAGAAGGACAAGCATCGAAAAGATTCTCTCCCTTTCCTCTCAACAGAACAGAAAAGCTATTCAGAGTCTGTAGCTTGCATCATAACCTCATAATTGTACCAGTTGTTCTTTTCTCCCAGGGAATACAATAAATTGCAACTCAGCCACTCCAGGGCCTGTTTGGAAAGTTCTTGCTTCTTCACAAACAGCAAAGCAGCTGCTTGATTGGTTTTATTATATTGCACATTGCTTTGAAATCGATGAAATTATAAAATGAATGAAATAAATAAATTTAATGATGACAATGAGTTACTTCGGACAGCAGTGCAGGCAGCACCTAAATGTGCCTCTGGACATTTCTCAGGCAAGGCAGATGGGTGTAGATAAGCACTGTGTTCAGAACGAATGCTGATATTAATTTGGGATGATATTGTTTGTTTATTTATTTAAATGACTTTTACAGCCTGCTTTCTCCCCACAAAAACCTCAAAAGTGGCTTGCTCAAAAATAAAATTCACTAATAAAAATAACTATATTTAAAATATAAAAGACAGCAGCATTAATATCAACATTTAAAAATAATAATTTCACAGTGCTCTCTGAAAAAAAATAAAAAGGGGGTGGGGAGAGAGAGAGACTTTCAGCATCTATCTAAAGATGGGAAGGGGAAGATTTGGATAAATTTCCCAGAGAAAATTCCAGCGTTATAGTGCCACTGTCAACCAGGCTCTGTTGCTAGTACCCAGCTATCAAATATCTGCTAACAACAGGCTAGAGAGCAGGTCCTCTGATGCCAAGCTGAAGACCCAGGCAGGTTCATATAGTTCAAGGTGGTCCTTTAAAAAATCTGGTTCTGGGTCATTAGAGGGCTTTAAAGGCTTACAGCAGCACTTCCACACTGTGTGTGTTGCGGAGAGAACCAGTTGGCTTGGGTAGGTCTGGGTTGCAGAAGTAGACCCAGAATGTGTTTCTGTCATGATTCAAACATGGGCAGGGCTGGAATCCGGAGTCGGCTTTAGCCGCACTCTTTCTGTAGTCTATATCCCAGCTGGGAGCCCACTGCCAATTCCTGATGCTCCCTTGACCTGCTGCTGTCGCCACCTTTTTGTCACCTGCTCATCTAGTATGAACACAGTGATGGCCTGGGTTTCACCACATAAGAGAACCTGCGCAGGAGGTGGTCAGTCTAAAAACATGTTCATCTGCTTATTCAATTTAGACCCTGCCTTTCCTCCTGAAGCAGCCCAGGGGCAGGAACAGGTGTTGTTTCAAGGCTACCAAAGACACAGACTGTTTCACCTGGTTCCTTTATCCTCTCACCTCCGTTTCTCATTGACTGCACACAACCTAAACAGAAGATGCTACCAAGTGTGGCAAAATAAACATTTAATATTCTTTCTTTTTTAAAAAAAATGTACCCCATTCAACTGTTACGGAATTAAAAAGAAACAAAGGTGATCAGGGCATAATCAGCACAGCAGCTGTTAATACCATTTTTCGGAGGCTGTCCTTACAAGTGCTGATGAACAAATCTCCTTGCCTTCCTTGAAATATGGGAGTTAAAAGTTATGCATAGACATCATTACTGGAATGGTACCCACGAAGTCTCCTAGACCATAAGGTTATTTTTTTCTTCAGGGGGCTCTTCGTTTGGACGCAGGCGTTTAGATGCTGGTTCCTGGGGATTATCTGCACCTACAAGTAAAAAATGACACTGTCTGAATCAATATGGATCTGGAGGCATGTGTGGATTTCTAGCAGTTTAGGGGGAGACCCTTAAGTTTTTCTCCCAGTCCCCTGCCACACAGCAGCCCCCTGACTTTCATGCAAGTGCCAGTGGCCTGCCCGTGGCTGGGCAGTTTTGTTGGCATCACAAAACACGTCTGAAAGTGGGTTTGATGTCGCATTAAAAGCAGCCTGGTTCTGTGTGTGGCAGTGGATACACATGGTACAGCGACAGCAGGCTGTGTGATGATGTAGGCAGCACAGTCAAGAGGCTGCCTGGAGGTGGGGAAGGGTCCTAAAAAAGGAAGCTGGAGGGAGAGGGGGAAAGCCGGAACTAGGGAGCAAAATTAAAACCACACTTTCAAACTTGTCTCACGTAAGCTGCTGTGGAGAAAGGAGGGGCAGGTGAGGTACAATAAAGGGACCCTGGGACAGGATGCAGAGGAATTGTAGCTCTGCCTCCATTCCCACCACAGCCTTTCTTGCTGCTCCCGAAGTTCAGGAACCCTCTGCAGTAGCAGAACTCAATGGGAGGCAAAGGGCCTGCAGTTGGAAAGCGACCATCAGTGACACCTCAGTGCACACCTGCAAAGCTCTTAGGATTTGGGGTCGTCTGCAGCACAAAACTTGAGCAGGAGCAAAGCAAAAGGATTTTACTAAGCATCTGAGGCACTGACAACACACTTGCAACATGCCCCAAGACATGCAGCCGCATCACAGGTTGTGAACTTCCCACAGGGAAAATTGCACATAGAACATCATGCGTGAATACACACAAATTTGTTTCCATATTTATTAATGTGCTGAGAAACCAGGACTGGCTGCAGCTTCCCTATGCATGCACAGCAACGAAACAGTTGCATGTGCGCCTGTAACACATTATTTATTTGTGACCTTTATGCTTTTCCCTCCCTAGAAGTACATTCCCCCTCGGCCTCCTATGCAGGTTACGGGCCACCATTAGGGCTGGGCGATATATCGATTTATCATTGAAAACCGGTTTGAAGTCCATGTCGTGAAGCCAGCCAATGCTGTTTTTGATTCCTACAGCCCTGTTAACTCTGCCTGCTCAGCTCTCCTCTGCCTCCTGCAGGGTGCAGCGATCACAAACGCAGGCGCCAGCAAAAACCACGATGCAGGAAAAACTGTGAAGCCAATGCTTCTGCATATCTCCATCCTTATTTCAGACATCGTGATATACTGATATATCACAGTGTTTAACTGGCGATACATTGGTACCTCGGGTTACATACGCTTCAGGTTACAGACTCCGCTAACCCAGAAATAGTGCTTCAGGATGAGAACAGAAATCGTGCTCAGGTGGCGCGGCAGAAGCAGGAGGCCCCATTAGCTAAAGTGGTGCTTCAGGTTAAGAACAGTTTCAGGTTAAGTACAGACCTCCAGAACGAATTAAGTACTTAACCCGAGGTACCACTGTATATCACAATGTTGAAAACCAGGTATCGCCCAGCCCTAATCCCCATTTCAATGTCTGATCTGAGGCAAAGGATTCACAGAGGACCCTAAAAGCTTGCAGTAGTCCTGCCTCTTTCTTTGACTCTATTACCTTTCAGAGAAGACAGCGGCTTGTACAACACCTTGGGTGGGAGGCTGAAGCTGATGCACATCATGTCCTTATTGGGCGCTACGTTCCTCACCAGCTCCACAGAGCAAAGGCCCTCTAAGGAGATTCCCAAGCAGGCTTCGACTCTCTCCTGAACATCTTGCACAGGGTTGTCGTGCTTGGAAAAGCAGTAGCAGTGAACGGTGGGAAGACTGGTGCTGCCCGGCTCTCCATCCAAGAGGTGCCTGAAGACATCCAAGAATTCAACTGCCATGGCTGGCAAGTTCATGACGATGTGCAGGCAGCTGTTCCGCTCCTTCAAAGAAAGCTGTCTGGTCAGTTCTTCCTTCACCGGCTCCTCCAGGAACTGCCTGCCATCCATGTTGAAGACCTTGACTTTTCTGTCCACTTTGTTTAGCTTACAGTTGTGCTGCAGCCACTTGTACGAGTCAGGGTTGAGGTCGTTTGCAAACACAATGCATCCCTTCTTCGCTGCAGGAATTGCAAAAGGCCCCACCCCGGCGAAGACATCAAAGAGAAGGTCGCCTGGCTTGAGGAGGCCGACGATGCGCATGTGTTCTGTGCAGAGGCGGGGGTTCCAGTAGACTTTGGAGAAATCAAATTCGTACATGATATGGTGCTCCTTAACCTGCAAGAGTTCAAAATATTGGGATGATCTCTAGCAGGCTAGAATCTCTCTGATCCAGAATTCCCCAGTAAAGGATGCTGCACACATTTTATTTTGTATTCATGACATCAAGACCTATCCCATCAAATATCTTTTGCATGCAAAACCTGCTATCAGTGACTGAGAAATGATCATGCCCCTAGCCAAGTGTACTCCCTGGGTGAAAGCTGTGATACAGGTGGGTGCCATTCAGAAATGGTGCTGTATGTTTGCCTTTTCTAATCAGCAATCAGATCCCAAGTAGAAAACATACCATAAGTCCTAAATCTGTTCTGGGTCCCCCCCCCCCAATTCTCTAGAACAGATTTGGGGACTGCATGGAAGCTGGTCTTGATGTGCAAGTGAAATTGGACAATAATTTAGTTGAATACCACCCACAGTTTCTTCAAACAAATGCACAAGGAAGACATTGTTTTCCCAAAGAAGCAAAATCAGCACCTGGTTTCTGAACTGGTTCTAAAACTCAAGAGTTCATTAGAATCTTTGATTATGTGGTTTTAAAAAAATTAATATACGTCTATACATTTGACCACCACTAAGCTACGTTCTTCCTACCAAAGTCTTATGAACAATTGTGATTTCATTTAGGCTAGACTTGGACATCTGGGAACACACAGAGACTGCCAAGTCTATGGAACAGAAAGGAATAAAGAATTAATATGTCAGACTGTATCTTTCTGCAATGTCTGCTCTTTGCTTTGTCTGTTTTCTCAATGTTAGATTTTTAATCCCCCCTTTTTTGTTGCAAGAAAATACCATTAAAAATTCCTGGTACCTTTGTGATCATATTGTCCTCTCCGGCTAATACCTCCATTTGAAAATTCCGATAAGCATTATCTATGGTATTGGTTTTATTTACAGCGCAGGTGATTCCTGGGTTCTTGTCAAGGATAACTTGACCTGAAAGGAAGAAATGGGCTGTTAAATTTGCTTTTCAAAAAAGCAGGCATGTGATTTAAACGTCTATGATACAGACTCATAAAGAACATATAAAATAAACCCCACTCCATTTCCATTAGGCTGTTGCTTAAAATTTTTAGTGAAGAAATGCTGATTGCCCTTGCCAAGGAATGTGGCACAATGCTTGCCCTCCTCCAGCCATTAATGAGTTATCAGTAGGCCTTTACGAATGGGAGAGATCACTTTTGTGTCTCCAGAATTTTTGCAACATTATAGCTTAGATCTAGTCATATCCACACCATGTATTTAAAGTACATTTAAATACATACTTCAGACATACTTAACCCTGCTTCAGAAAGAAACTGCTCAGTCATTTCTTTGGAAATAACCAAACAAGACTTCTCTGGTGTAAGTCTTAACCTACCAATTATGTGTTTGTAGGGCAGCTGATGGTCCCTCAGATTCAAGTGAATGATGTGGCCAATTCTGCTGAATGCAGTGGTCACTTCCTGACCTTCAGGAAGCACTGCTTGCAGAATTTCGTCCACCTTGAAATGGTCGTATGTCAGTTCCTGGTTATACTTGACAATCTCAGGGCTGATGTTAAAGCTCTTCAGGATCTGTTGCTCAGATTCGCCCAGGGAACAGCTGTCGGATATGGCATGAGGATCTAACAAAAGAAACTTTCTGCTTTCATCTTCTGGGTCTTCAACAACTCTCTTGAGACCTGGGCGCTTCAACAGCACTCGTTTGAGAGGCTTCTCCAGCTTGCTCAGGAGGTCTTTGTTAACTTTCAGAGCTGGGATGACAACATTCCTTTTGAAAGCAGCTCGGTCAAGGGTGGTCATTCCACGGACCCTGGGATGCGGCGAGTGCAGGTCAAGGTCAAATTTCTGCTCAGGTACCTCCGGCATAGTGCACAGACTATTTCTACGAGCGGCTGCAAGATGTCCAGGCAGCCGATTAAGAGGCTGACCGCAAAACGTCCAGACTGCTGGAAATGATGTATTTGAGGCAGTTGTTCCAAAATATTTCACTTTCAGGAGGCTAGCAGGCAAGCTGTTTAATCGCCTGAAAATCCTAGAAGGGAAATCATTCACTTTATAGACATTATGTAAGCATTCAATAAAAAAATGGGGAGGGGGGAGAATGCTACAAATCCACATGTCTGTACAGTTCTCATAAAATCACTAGCACTTGTATGAGATTATTCGAAACTGTCCTACATAACCCAAAGATAACACTGATGCAGCAACGAATTAGAAGCTTGGCAGAGGAAGGAGTTTTGGGCTTGTATCCAAAGTAGTGCTATGTGAACTTTCCTAAGCACAAGGATTCCTGCTTGTGCAACAGAATATTCTCCCCATCTCCTCCTGTTTCCCCCCATATGCCGCCTACAACTCTTCTAGGGGTTCCTGCAGCCCAGTGGAGCAAATCTGGTACCCGAGATTTTAGCCCTGTTGTCAATGGCAGAGTGCAATCCTAACTGTGTCTAATCAAAAGTAAGCCCTATTGAAATCAGTTTTTCCCAAATAACTGAAGTTAGGACTGCAGCCCTGGCCCGAAATGTATGCCATAACAGGTGAAGGTCTCACTAAACATGTGCAGAGGATCTTTCCCTCAGCAGCTGAATAACCACATCCTAAGAACCGTCAGCCTTATCCTTGTACCAAGTAAAGTAAGAAGGTGCTTCTGGTCACAAACACAGGGATCTTTAATTTGGGCAATAGGCCTCCTGGATGGTTAGAAAATAAAACTTCCAAATAGCTTTGTGTTTCACTGAGTTTCTTTTTAAAGCAAAACTTGATTTAAAGAACATGAGAAGAGCCCTCCTGTATCTGTCCAAAACCACACATCCCTTATCACACAGTGGCCAACCAGATGTTTTTGACATGCCCACAGATAGGGTAGAAAGGCAAAAGCCTTACCTACTCTCCACACCTTGCAACATTCAGATGTGTATATACACTCACTTCCTACAAACTGATTTGTGAACTTCATGCAGGTAGCCCACAGAATGTCAATGGATTTGTGGTTGAAAATGCGGCACGTCCATTGCATTAAATATTCACATGGATTTTAATTGTTTTTCTGTTTCTTTTTAAATATATTTTATTGTATTGCAATTCTATGAAATATTTTGATTGTGTGATTTGGGTTTAATTTGGAGATTGTTTTCCCACGCACACAACTGTTCTGTCGCTGATATCTCCTTGGGAAATGAAATGGGGTAGACGGGTATTTTAAGTAAACAAACTCCTAAGAGAAGATCAGGCGTAGAAAAACAAGTTATGTGAGGAAAAATGGAAACAATTGGGTATGTTTAGCCTGGAGATGAGAAGACTGAGAGAGAATGGGCCAGCACTCTTCAAAAGTTGGCCATATAGGAGAAGGCAAAGAACTTGGGTCACATGCACACCATAGATTTAAAAGACATTATACCACTTCAACCATCACGGCTTCCTCCCAAAGAATTATGGGAGCCGTAGTTTGTTAAGGGTGCTGCATATTGTAACGGGGGGGGGGGGGAGAGGATAAACTACAGTTCCCAATATGGCTATATTCTGAAGGCAGCCCTGTATCAGTAAGCTTTTTATGTCTGATGTTTCGCTGTTTTTATTACTACAGTGGTACATTGGTTCTAGAAGTTAATCCATTCCGGGAGTCCGTTCAACTCCCAAAACCATTCAAAAACCAAGGCGTGACCTCTGATTGGCTGCAGGAGCTTCCTGCACTCAAGTGGAAACCGTGTTGGGCGTTCGGCTTCTGAAAAACATTCACAAACCGGAACACTTAGTTCTGGGTTTGCGGTGTTTGGGAGTCGATTTGTCTGACAACTAAGCCGTTTTAGAACCAAGGTACCACTGTATTCTGTTTATTTTTATTCTGTTGGAAGCCACCCATAGGGATATAAGCAATATATTATTATTACAGTGGTACCTCGGGTTACATACGCTTCAGGTTACAGACTCCGCTAACCCAGAAATATTAACTCGGGTTAAGAACTTTGTTTCAGGATGAGAACAGAAGTCGTGCAGCAGCGACGTGGCGGCAGCAGGAGGCCCCATTAGCTAAAGTGGTGCTTCAGGTTAAGAACAGACCTCCAGAACAAATTAAGTTCTTAACCCGAGGTACCACTGTATTAATAATAATAATAACAATAATAATAATAATATTCCTCCAGGATCGAAGGCAGTATGATTCTGAACACTAGTTGCTGAAAATGTCAGGTGGGGTGTGTGTTGTTTCACTCAGGTCCTCCATTCTGGCTTTTCACAGGCATCTGGTTGGCCATTTTTTTGAGAACAGGGATGCTGGACCTAGACGGGCCTTTGGCCTGATCCAGAAGGGCTCTTCTTTTCTTCTTACCTTAAGTTGCAGAAGGATAATATCTTTTTGCCTGCACATTACATGAAACACCTTGAGGGCAATAGCAAGTTGTGGCAATGCAGCCAATTCAGCCTAGAAGGTCGCTGGGCTTCTCCCTGGCTTGGGATCTTCAACCTTCAACCAATGTTTAATTTTTTTTTTGGTCTTAATATTATCTTTTGACAATATGTAGCAAAAACCATTATACATCATATAATGGGCAATCCAGTCAGATGGGTGGGGTAATAATAATAATAATATTTGCTTCTCATGCAAAAAAAGAGTGTGTAATAAAAAGAAGAAAAAGCAGAAAAGAAAAACAAAATAAGGACCAATTAAATGGGGGAACATAACAGCCAAAGTCAATTTGGGTTGCCTTGGGCGAGATAAAGTGACAAACACATTTAATAAATAATAGTAGTGACAACTGTTCTGGAGGCTAGGACCTGAAGCAACAGATTCCAAATTAAAATAAATGAGATTCTGACTAAACATCAGGAAGAACTTTCTGACGGCAAGAGCTCCCTCAGGCAATCTCCTTCCTTGGAAGTTTTCAAACAGAGCTCAGGTGGGGCATCTGTCACAGATAATCTAGTTGAGATTCCTGCATTGCTGGGGGTTGGACTAGATGTCCCTCGGGGTCCCTCCCAACTCTGCAAATCTATGAACTCCACGTGTCATTAATATATCTTTGCAACCATAACCAGTGCTGTCTAAAAGATGTCCCAGCGCCTCTTCACTACGCCACAGGTCAGGGTTTCCCAAACCTGAGGCTCCAGCATCTTGTTGGTTTTTTTGGACTACAACTCCCATCATCCTTAGCCAGCAGGACCAGTAAGCCAGGGACGATGGGAATGGTAGTCCAAACAAAAAACACAACTCCAGTTTGGGGAAACCCTGCAATCGGCGATGAGATTAAGGCCTGCTAGGGGTGTTGCTGCGCGGAGCAGAGGCCTAGTTGGCCTACAAGAAGAAAGGCCCTTCTTCCTCCACGCTGCAGGGACGCGTGCCTCTGAGCGCGCGCAGAGTGCATTTGCCTAGTCAGACGAGGGAAGGAAGAAATAAAATTAATATTTATACGCCGGTCCATCGGGCTGGATTTCCGCAGCGGCCTCCATAAAAACAATAAAAAGTCAAGCATTAAAACCAAGCCCAAAACGGCTCCCCACACACCCCCAGCCTCCGTTGGAAGCGGCGGGGAGCCCCCAGCCCCTCATTTTTTTTTAAACGGGGCGCCTCACCTCATGCCGGCCTCTCGCCGCGCCGCATTTCCCCTCAGCTCGCCGAGGCCCAGCCTCCCCGCCCAAGCGCCGCCCTCGAGTAGCGCGCCCCGCCCTGTTTCCTCTCAGCGCCCGCCGGCTCCTCCCCGGCCCCGAGGACGGGGCTTCGGTCGGCCTCCCGCCGCTCTTGGGACTTCTCCGCTCCCTTCGCCGCCATGGAGGAGCCGCGGCTCGTCGGCAGCGTCAACTGCGAGCCGCGGGGATGGTACTTGTCGGCGCAGGAGCTGGAGGACGGAGCGCCGCTCCTGCCGCCGCCGCCGCCGCCCCCGGGCAGGGTGTGTGTGGGGCTGGGGCGGTGGGGGGCGAGAGGGGAGGCGGTGGGGCTGGGCTCCCCCGGGTTGGAGGGCGGCTCCTCGCTCAGCCCCACAGAGCAGGGCGGGTTGGCGCTTCCCGCTTTCAAATCCCCTCACAGTGAGGGGTGCTAAAAAGAAGCAGCAGCTGTAACATGGCTTGGGGATTCAAAAGATATTTCGATAATAATAATAATAATAATAATAATAATAATAATAATAATAATAATAATAATAATAATAATATATTTATACCCCGCCCATCTGGCTGAGTTTCCCAGTTTGGTTTGGCTTGGTAAGTAAAACGTGTGCGAAATTGCCATAGAAATCATTAATGACTGCCAAGTCCTTGCAGATCTAAATCAGTGCTATTCGTATTATTGGTTTCCCCGCCCCCCATAATTTTTATTAAATTTTCAGTTTTACGATTTAGAATACTCATTTAAACAACCTTAAGATATCAGTGACTTCCCTTCTTCTCTTTCCATGGTTCATATTGCGTAACAAACCCCTGCATATTTTATATAAATTAAATATTCCATTATTATATCCATGAAAACTTATTTACACTGTTGAATTTATCTTCATACTGGCAACAACCCTGTGAGGTCCGTTAGGCTAAGAGAGGGAGGGTGACCTCCAAATTGCTGAGTTGGGCATCATGGCTGAGTAAGGATTTGAAACCACTTCTTCTTTGAAGATACCCCATCCTGTGTCTTCAAAATCAGAAGCCACGTAGTTTGGGCACAAAGATTTTCCCAACTCAGCATTTTACGTCTCGCTTTGCACAACGCCATAACATATACTCATGGTACTCCTCATTCCACGATATTTAGCCCTATACACAAAAGATATTCCCCATGTTGCCTGGCTGCTCTTGAAACCTATAGGAAGCGGACAGACTACAGTGGATGCTCGGGTTGCGAACGTGATCCACGCGGGAGGCACGTTCGCAACCCGCAACGTTCGCAACCCACAGTGCCGCATCTGCGCACACACGGGTTGCAATTCAGCGCTTCTGCGCATGCGCAAAGCACTATTTTCCCAGCTCAGCATGCACAAAGTGGTATTTAGTGCTTCTGTGCATGTGTGAGCGCCAAAACTCAGAAGTAACCCATTCCAGTACTTCCGGGTTTGGCGTGGTGCGCAACCCAAAAACACGCAACCTGAAGCGTCTGTAACCTGAGGTATGACTGTACATCATATACGCCTGATGACGCTCCCAGGCCGGTGTTGCATTTCCACATCTCCATGAGCTTCCCAGCACACCTTGCTCACAGCCCCACGGGCAAAGTGGCATTTCCTAGTGCCGTAGAAGCACACAGCACAGACCCATGAAACTTTGCAACCCTAGGAAGACTTGTTGAATGCATACACTGCCACCCTTGAAATATCGTAGTGAAGGGGAACAGTTAGCCCTAATACTGTTTGTGAATTCCCCCCCAGCCAGGCCTCGCCTTAAGCATTTTAAAACTGCATTTGGCTCTCTCATAGAACTTCACAACCCCACAGAAGCCACAGAATGGACACATACTCCTCTATCTTTCAGCTTGGTGGCACAGAAGTTCCTCGCGTGGGTTTGAAGACTCGGCCCCATAGAGTCCTGCAGAATGGACCCACATACTTTTCCAAGTGTTATTTGTAACGCAATTGCATCTCCATAGAGCCTCACAGCACCAACATCATCGCTCAGGGCATGCCCATGTTCAAATGCTTTTTGCAACCTTTGGAAGTCACCTGTGTCACCAGAAGGCCCCATAGTACAATGTCTCTCTCTCTCTCTCACCCCCCCCCCAAATTATATACAGGTCATGGCACACAGTCCTCTTATAAATAGATTGTCCAGCACATTCTTTAGAAAAAGCGTTGTAGAACAGGTTTCTCTGCCCATTTGTTTCGTTCCATTCCACTTCTCACAATCTCATAGTTCCAGAATTTAGCATTATTCCTACAGCTGTAGTGGTGGTCCTGGGAATCCATCTGGACCCACCAAAGATGGTTCTTCCAGCCCTAGAAATCTATGGACTGGATATTAATTCCACAGGGTCCTTGTTGGATAGAAAAGACACTTGCATTGGTGTTGGGGAGAGGAAAGTGAGAATACAGTGGTACCTCGCAAGACGAATGCCTCGCAAGACAAAAAACTCGCTAAAGGGTTTTTTGTTTTTTGAGCTGCTTCGCAAGACGATTTTCCCTATGGGCTTGCTTCGCAAGACGGAAACGTCTTGCAAGTTTGTTTCCTTTTTCTTAACACCGTTAATACAGTTGCAACTTGACTTCGAGGAACAACTCATAGAACGCGGTGTGGTAGCCTTTTTTGAGGTTTTTAAAGACTTTGGTGATTTTTGAAGCTTTTCCAAAACTTTCCCAACACCGTGCTTCGCAAGACGAAAAAAATCGCAAGACAACAAAACTCGCGGAACGAATTAATTTCGTCTTGCGAGGCACCACTGTAATGCAACCCTCCCTGTTTCTACTCAAAAGTAAGTCTCATTGAATTCAGTGGGGCTTACTCTCAGGTAAGTGGGGTTAGGATTGCAGCCCAAATCAAAGAGCATGTATACCTCTTATGTCTCACAGGTTCTGGATGCCTTTTAAATAGACAAAATCATAACGTAGTAAATGAACTAAAAGCAACAACAGCCATCCTCTAAGCACCGTAGCATTCCTCCTCAAAAAGCCACTACTGTAAAACTATCAGTGACTCTCCCCATAGACTGTGGGAGTCTATTCAACTAGACTAGAGATCCACTAACTCTACCAGTAATGTTATTAAGTTTGAGTTTTAGTAGATGGAACAGTGTTGGCTCTGGTACAGTCTTTTGCAGGCATGACCTGGCTTCGTTTTCTGATTTTATTGCCACTTTTGAGACCAAGGAAAAAAATAAAGTTGGAAAGCTCACATTTTGATTACGTATTCCATAAGTTCTGGCTCTAAGAAGTCCCTAAACTTACAATACTTGGTTAAAAAAGAAATCGAGTTAGAAAACCTAATGAGGCTGAGGTTTCCACCCTCCTAGCCATGTCAAATCTAAAAAAACCAAATAAATTACGACATTTTTCTTTTTACTGGCTAGATTAACAGTTATTAGAATTTGGTCTTCCCTGATTCAACTCTAGTAACTGTTAGGTTTTAAATAATTTTTTGTATGTTCAAACTCAGTCCTTTAACTAACTAACTAACTAACTAACTAACTAACTGCATATACTCTCTTCGGTGCCTGCTAAAACATTCATGTTTAGACAAGCCTTCCCAGGTGTTTTAAAAGTTGAGGTAATTTTTAAAATATGTTGTAATATTTTAACATTTGTATGATTTTAGTTGTAGTTTTTTTCTTGATTTTACTGTTTTACCTTTTTGTAAACTTCTTTAAGGCCCCCCCCCCAATCAAGAGGTGTATAAATTTTATGAAATAATTAAAATAAATAAATATACTGCTTGACTATAATAAAACTTCTGAGTGGATTGTCAGCGGTAGTCAAGAGTCTTTGTCTATGAATTAAATTACTTTTCCACTCCCATTTGCGTTGGGCTTATGTGATTGCTTTTGCCCAGATGAAGAATTCAGTGTTAACAATCTGGTTCTGTCATTTACAGACATTTTTGAACCAGACATCGTCTGGGGCTTCCTTTGGCTTCTCGGTATTTAATTTAATGAATGCTATCATGGGCAGTGGGATACTTGGATTGGCATATGCCATGGCCAAGACGGGAATCCTTGGATTTAGGTAAGTTTTGTGTGTGTCAATTATATTTCATATTATATTGTACTATATTTTTAAGTAGCGTGTAAGAGTTTTATATAGTTAAACCTCAGTTGTCAAACGTAATCTGTTCTGGAAGCCCTTTTGGCTTCCGAAATGTTCAACAACCGAGGCACGGCTTCTGATTGGCTGCAAGAGCTTCTTGCAGTCAAGTGGAAACCACGTTGGACGTTTGGCTTCCAAAAAAATGTTAGAAAACTGGAGCATTTACTTCTGGGTTTTCTACGTTCAGGAGCCGAAATGTTCCAAAACGGAGGTGTTCGGGAACTGAGGTTAGTAATGCTATCAATTAAGACTTATAGTTCTAGATTAATTAATATCAATGCTGCATTTTAATCTTTATAGTCAGAAATACACTATGTGATACTAAAAAAGTTAAAGTAAGCTTCAAAAATACCATATAACATGGGGAAGGGGAATGCAATTGTGCTAAAATCTCAACTTTCCTCAGTGTGCCACCCTTGTTTGCTTGGTCTATACATGCGGCAGTATGAAATTGCAGAATCCTGGGGTGGTAGATTGGACAGTACCACTTCAAATGCCAGGTTTGGGCGAGAGCAGTGTTTGGTGGGGTGCCGCAGGTAGGGTGGCACCAGGAGCAGACCACCACCATTTGACAAATTGTGCAGTTATCTTTTGTGATGTGTTAATAAATTTGCAAGCCATACCTCACGATTTCTGGCTCGGAAAACCGAACTGGGGTGATTTACATTGAACTGGTCCACATATAACATGGCGTGGCAACCAAACTGTAGCTTGGCATCATGTGTGAACGCTGCCCAGTGAGTTCATTATGGTTTGCTTGCTGCCAACAAATCACAGCCTGAACCCATGGTTTGTTTTTAGCTTACAAACCATGGCTTAACAAAAAAAAAATTCCTTCCAGTAGCACCTTAAAGACCAACTAAGTTAGTTCTTGGTATGAGCTTTCGTGTGCATGCACACTTCTTCAGATACACATTTCGTGTGTATCTGAAGAAGTGTGCATGCACACGAAAGCTCATACCAAGAACTAACTTAGTTGGTCTTTAAGGTGCTACTGGAAGGAATTTTTTTTGTTTTGACTATGGCAGACCAACACGGCTACCTATCTGTAACTGAAACCATGGCTTGATGTTGATAGCTCAGCATTGTGTGTGAACCCAGCACCCTTCCTTAAACTTGCTGGCCATCCCACACCGGGTGCTTAAGGTAAAGGTAAAGGGACCCCTGACCATTAGGTCCAGTCGTGACCGACTCTGGGGTTGCAGCGCTCATCTCGCTTTATTGGCCAAGGTAGCCGACGTACAGCTTCTGGGTCATGTGGCCAGCAGGACTAAGCCGCTTCTGGCGAACCAGAGCAGCGCACGGAAACACAGTTTACCTTCCCGCTGGAGCGGTACCTATTTATCTACTTGCACTTTGACGTGCTTTTGAATTGCTAGGTTGGCAGGAGCAGGGACCGAGCAACTGGAGCTCACCCCGTTGCAGGGATTCGAACCGCCGACCTTCTGATCGGCAAGTCCTAGGCTCTGTGGTTTAACCCACAGCGCCACCCACATCTTACCAAGCTACAGAGGCATGAGGAAAGGGCAGCTGGAAAACAAGCCAAAGATTGGCAGGGCAAGTTGTGATTTGTTGCATCTTCAGCAATGTGTGGTTTAGCATTGTGTGCAAACCAGGAAATTGTAAGTGCCAGGTTTAAATAGCTGCGTCTTGTGATAGTGGTGGATCACCCAGCCAGAGTGCGATTGCTGTATTCTCTTAGGAGAGGTGTTGTTGTCATTTGCCATGAACAAACAGGCAAATACCAAATTAAATGGGTGACCCGAAACGTTCTTTAGAACGTTCTAAAGCATAGAGATGGTGAAATGGTTCAACAATTGGCCTTTTCCCCATATATAAAAAAACTCCAAATTCAATGACACAGAAAATTCAAAAGAAAAGCAGAACATGGAAAATATTGAGTAACCAACCGTGGCGTGAATTAGATTCTGCTGATGTGAACCATAAAATGAGGAAAGAACGATTTCTTCTGCTTGTTTCTGGGAAAACACAATGTATTAAATATATATATATATATATATATATATAAAATATATATTAAATGTGGCCTTGATCATTCGTTTCTTCTGCCCTAGTGTGTTGCTGCTGACTGTTGCCATCCTTGCATCTTATTCTGTATTTCTCCTGCTTACTATGTGCATTCATACTGGTAAGTGAAGGCAGCACGCAGTGATTTAATCTGAGAAGCCTTTAGAATGGAAAAGTTAGCAATATATTCAGAATTTGCGGAGTGCATTTTAGGGGCTAACAATCGCTGCGGCTGGTGCCGTATGAGAACCAGTGTGTCGTAGTGGTTGAAGTGTTGGGCTAGAACTTGGGAAACCAGAATTCAAAGCCCTACTCAGTCATGAAGCTCACTGGGAGACTTTTAGATCTGTCACCATCTCTCAGCAAGTCCTGTGACTTGTTATTGCAGTGATTTATCTTGTTATTGCAACATAGAGCCCTTTCCACGTTGTCCTGCCTGATAGTGAAATCACACAATTGTGTTGCGAAAGGCTTTGGGGGATTTTTTAAAAAATGTATAGCCCATTTGTGCAAAGCGCTAGCCATGTCTGTTGGGCTTCTTTGCTTCTCTCCCCCTGCCCCCCATGAACTATAAGGGTGCTCTGGAAAGGGGAAGATCAGTAGTGCTGGGCAAGCTGCCTTTAAGTTTGTTGCCATTATTAAATGTCAGATTCAGAAACTCCTTTGTAAACCCAGGTTTTTCCAGTTTGAAAATTTCTCCTTAAAAGGTAACACTGTACTCTTTTTAAAAAAATCAGTGTTTCTCGAACTTGGTTCCCCAGCTGTTGTTGGACTACAACTCCCATCACCCCCTAGCTAGCAGGAACAGGGGTCAGGGATGATGGGAGTTGTAGTCCAACAACAGCTAGGGGCCCAAGTTTATTTATTTATTTGTATTAAATTTGTATACCACCCTGCACCCAAAGATCTCAGGGCAGTTCACAGCATTAAAATACAAAATACATAATAAAAACAAGAACAGAAAAGGGGTGTGATCTCCTCTCCCACAAACAATTTTAAAAAGACATAGAATATCAACCAGCTTCTGTCTTTTGGCGGGAGGCAGGGAAGGGAAAAATTTTTGGGGAAAGGCTGCAGTGTGCTGCTTTGAATATTGCACACATCCAGTTTGGTTTGAGGATCATGCCACGATTTTAAATTAAGAGTAGTGGGAATGCTAGTTCTGCACGTTTAATTTAACAAACGGGCTTTCAGCAACTTTAGATGCAGTAAGAGTTGGTGGTTTGGACAGAGGGGCTTCTTTGTTAACACTGCTTTTTGTGCTTCTGTTCCCTCCATCCAAAGTAGAGCCACCTATGGTATTCCAAGTGTTTTTAGAACTTCTAAGTAAATTCACCTAGCAAATCCGACACCCCCCGACCCCACTAATTTTTGTAGTGAAAAGGGGAGGGTAGACGCAGCAGTGGAAAACGCCCTGGGGGTGCCTGCAAGCCCCTGCAACTCTGAGCGTCCTCCAGTACGCGCAGCTCTGGAAAAGGCATCTCCCTTCTCTTCCAGTGTGCTCCTTAGCGACATACTGTATTTTTCGCCCTATAGCACGCACTTTTTCCCCTCCAAAAATGAAGGGGAAATGTGTGTGCGTCCTATGGGGCGAATGCAGGCTTTCGCTGAAGCCTGGAGAGCGAGAGGGGTCGTTGCGCACTGACCCCTCTCGCTCTCCAGGCTTCGCGCAGCTCTCCGCAAGCCGTGGGAGCCCGGCGCTGGGCTCCCACGGCTTGCGGAGAGCTGCCTGTTCTGGGGTCGGGGAAGCCCCGCGCCTGGGGGGGGGGAATTTTCCTTTATTTTCCCCCCCAAAAAAACTAGGTGCGTCCTATGGGCCGGTGCGTCCTATAGGGCGAAAAATATGGTACATCATAATGATCTACAGCCATACCTTGGGTTACAGACACTTCAGGTTGTGTTTTTTCAGGTTATGGACCGTCGAAACCCGGAAGTACCGGAACGGGATACTTCTGGGTTTCGGCGGTCGCGCATGCGCAGAAGCCCTAAATCGCGCTTTGCGCATGCACAGAAGCACCGAATCACAACCTGCGTGTGCGCAGACGTGGGTTGCGAACGTGCATCCTGCACGGATCACGTTCGCAACCCGAGCATCCACTGTATTCACACTAAGCTTCCATAACACAGCAAGGAGCATGAGACATTGTAAGCTACCGTATTTTTCGCTCTATAAGATGCACCAGACCACAAGACGCACCTAGTTTTTGGAGGAGGAAAACAAGAAAAAAAATATTCTGAATCTCAGAAGCCAGAACAGCAAGAGGGATCGCTGCGCAGTGAAAGCAGCAATCCCTCTTGCTGTTCTGGCTTCTGGGATAGCTGTGCAGCCTGCATTCACTCCATAAGACGCACACACATTTCCCCTTCCTTTTTAGGAGGGAAAAAGTGAGTCTTATAGAGCAAAAAATACGGTAATCTAATAATAATAAATTTTATTTATACCCCGCCCTCCCCAGCCAAGGCCGGGCTCAGGGCGGCTAACAACCAATAATAAAAACAAGTTGAATGAATACAACTTATTAACAAGATTAAAATACAACATTAAAACATTAAAGCATTAAAATGCAGCCTCATCACGGGAGGAATAAATAAATAAATAAATAAATAAATAAATAAATAAATAAATAAATAAATCTACTATTTATTTATCTACAAACAGACACAAGTAAAAGTGAAAGTGCATTACAAAGTACATACAGCGAAAGAGATAAGACTGTCTTTCGTTTCCCACACTCTTCTCAGACAGGCATGTGATTTACACCAATCACAAATGCCGCATCGGAGGAGTGAAATTGCTAACGGGGGATGCAAATCTCTCTTTCCCCAGTCTTGTCATCAATCATATGACAAGTAGAGGGGGCAGCAACCTTTTCTCCTCCTCAGCTGATCTGCATGGATCTACTAAGGAGGGGAGCTGCAAGCAGAGGCAGATTTAGGGTATCGCGACGTTCCATCACACTGGGCATTGCGCCTAGGGGGCGCCGCAACTATGGCAGTACGTTTCCGAGCACAATTCAAAGTGTTGGTGCTGACCTTTAAAGCCCTAAATGGCCTCGGTCCAGTATATCTGAAGGAGCGTCTCCACCCCCATCATCCAGCCCGGACACTGAGGTCCAGCGCTGAGGGCCTTCTGGCGGTTCCCTCATTGCGAGAAGCAAAGCTACAGGGAACCAGGCAGAGGGCCTTTTCGGTAGTGGCGCCTGCCCTGTGGAATGCCCTCCCATCAGATGTCAAAACGATAAACAACTACCTGACATTCAGAAGACATCTTAAGGCAGCCCTGTTCAGGGAAGTTTTTAATGTATGATATTTTAGTGGGGTTTTTGGTTTCTATGGAAGCCGCCCAGAGTGGCTGGGGAAACCCAGCCAGATGGGCGGGGTACAAATAATAAATTATTATTATTATTATTATTATTATTATTATTATTATTATTATTATTATTATTATTATGTCATCTCCATAATTATTTTATTATTCCAACTCATAAACCTTCCCAACCTTCTCCCAACCTTCTGAATGCAGGATTTCCAGTACAGTGGTACCTTGGTTCTCAAACTTAATCCGTTCCAGAAGTCCGTTCCAAAACCAAAGTGTTCCAAAACCAAGGCACACTTTCCCATAGAAAGTAATGCAACATGGATTAATCCGTTCCAGACTTTTAAAAACAACCCCTAAAACAGCAATTTAACATGAATTTTACTATCCAGTGAGACCATTGATCCATAAAATGGAGGCAATAAACAATGTACTGCAGTCACACAGTCAGTAGCTGAACTGGGTTCCACACAGTCACAAAAACAAAACAAAAAAGAGCCACAAAAACGCAAAATAAATAGCAAAAACAGACAGACCTCAGCGTAACACTCAGAATGGAAGTGTAGCACTCAAATCGGAAGCATAACACTCAAAGCGGAGCACGTTTGTGTTCCGGAAAAAGTTCACAAACTGGAACACTTACTTCTGGGTTTGTAGTGTTTGGGTTCCAAGTTGTTTGAGTTCCAAGGCGTTTGAGAAGAAAGGTACCACTCTATACTTGGGCCACTGTCTCCTCTGTCACGCCACTTTCATGTTTATTTCCTGACTTTTCTCTCTGTCTTTTTCTGATGAGGGGGGTTCATGCTGTGAGAAAACTTTTCTTCTCTCTTTCCTTGTTCCTTTTGTTCGCCATAGCTGTCTCTGGCCAATCTCTGGCCTTCTCTGATTCTTCTCCGAGGCTGCTGCTCCTAGTCTTCCACTTCCTCTTGGCCTGCACTCTTAAATGTTGGACAGAGGTAGGGTCCGATTGTTACTTTTTTATTATTTTAAGGTTATTATTTAAGGCTATTATTCCATAAAACTGGCCAAGTCTTTTTTTTAATGTCAACAGTTACAATGCAATAAGCAAATGTTAAAATCATGACATGAACAGCAAGTCGGTATTAAGGCAAGCACAGACTTGTCTGGAAAAAATAATGAATATGATGGACCCAAAAAAGAGAGATGCAAGATGGTTGATTAAATTCTGGCAGAATGAGCAGAGAATACTGTAGCGGAAGACCCTTGAGCAGAAAGTGAGCTACTTTGGGGCCTAAATCTTTTCGGGAACTCATGGCAAAAAGGATTAGCTAGGACATTGAGCAGTAGTTGAGCTCCACCTTTTTACACCCTCTGTGATTATTATTTTTTTGGGGGGGAGCAGTATCGAGATGTAAAATAAGATGGCACCTTTCATTTGGTACAGGAGTACCCAACCTTTGAGCTATGCAGGAGTCTTCATTTTGCCAAAGAGTTTTATGGAATGCAGAATCTCACACACTTTTGCACTAACACGTTGTGCATGTCCCTCTTGTTTAAGAGAATGTTTGTTTCCATTGTGCAGCAATTTTCTGTATCATGCCAACTGCATTTTCCCATTAATCTGCTCCCAAATATGTAATATGCTAGTTTCTGTGATGCAGAAAAATAATGAAATAAAAACCTAGATCGTTATAGTGGTATCTTGTGTTAAAAACGCTTCAGGTTGCGGACCGCGGGAAACCCGGAAGTACTGGAAAGGGTTATTTGCGGGTATCGCCGCTTGTGCATGCGCAGAAGCGCCAAATCGCGTCATGCACGTGCGCAGACATGGTTACGAATGCTGCGGGTTGTGGACGTGCCTCCGTCACGGATTACGTCCGCAACCCGAGGTTCCACTGTATTTTGATTGATTGTGTTCAGCAATTCTAATTTCTCTTTTTATAAACACAAAGGACATGATTCAGTAATTCCAGCAAAGTTCAGCATTAGGAGAGATAGGTTTGTACTTTATGTTCATAGTTAAATCAGTGAGACCTAAAATAGCTTAATTTTGGCTAGATTTAATATTTGGCAATTAATTTCACCAGTAATACAGCATCCACAAAATTAGCATTTTCGGGCACACTCCATGACCACCTTAATTAACCCCACAAAACTTTTCCCATCTGCATTTCTAAGTCCTTGTGCTTTTTTGATGGAAGAAGCACATATATTAGATTTATAACCATATGATTTGTACTTGATATGTATGCATAAAACATGCATATAATTTTCCAGTAAATATTAATGTGGAATTATTTGTTTCCTTCTGACAGCTGTTACTTCTTATGAAGATCTCGGTCTCTTCGCATTTGGCTCACCTGGAAAGGTAGTTTCCAAACTCTCCTTTATCTCCTTTTGGTTTTGTTATTGCTCATTTTTAAGAGATAAAAGTCCATCATCACTTGGTGGGATGTAGCATGTAGGATATTTAACTACGGCTGTTGCTCGCTTAGGTGAAAAGGTAAAGGTAAAAGACCCCTGGACAGTTAAGTCCTTTCAAAGGCGACTATGGGGTGCTGCGCTCATCTTGCTTTCAGGCCGAGGGAGCTGGCATTTGTCCACAGACAGCTTTCTGGGTCATGTGGCCAGCAGGACTAAACCGCTTCTGGCGCAACAGAACACTGTGACGGAAACCAGCGCCCACGGAAACACCGTTTACCTTTCCGCCACAGCGGAACCTATTGATCTACTTGCACTGGTATGCTTTTGAACTGCTAGGTTGGCAGGAGCTGAGACAGAGCAACGGGAGCTCACCCCATCACGGGGATTTGAACCGCCGACCTTCCGATCAGCAAGCCCAAGAGGCTCAGTGGTTTAGACCACAGCGCCACCCGCTTGGGGACTGTTGTATGATATTTCATGAATCACATGAGATTGTTCTTACATGGGTTCCAAGCATTATGCCCAAGTCAGAACTTACTTCATTGACTCTTTTCACTTCCTTTTTAATAAAAGATTAGCGACAGTAGGGATGGTTAGCTTTTACAGCCTTCTTCTCTACAGTACCATATGGGCACCCAGCATCTCCCCTTGTAACATTCATTTAATGACTTCTGTTCCTTTTTTGTTATAGACATAGTCTGGTGGAGAATAACATTTCTGCTTTTCGTAACATCATCATCTGTTTTTGTAGGTTCTTGTGGCCAGCACAATCGTTATACAGAATGTTGGAGGTAAGAAATGTTAAGTTACAATAATTATTAACACTGAGGATCTTTCAGAGCTGTTCTGAGAACAATTCTATAGTAATTTGATCTAGTTATGGTCAACTGCTTTGTCTCCTTGAATGTCTTTTATCGTCCCATCCTTCCAGTCATGGTCTAGTTATTCTACATATGAAAACTGGGCTTGAAATTGTTTCGATGTCCTTAAATTTGTGGACACCTCTGTTAGAGATCATAGATATATTTATAGATATATTTACCTGCCTAGGAAAGGCTGTTGTAGCTTTGGGACCAAGCACCACATACGAGAGTTGCTGAGTGGCGTAATTATACTGTGACTGCATAAATTTGACTCACGCTGCCCAGTGACTGCTCTTTTTATAAACATACTTGAGAACTAGGTCGCTTGCTTTCATAATTCAATTTAGTGTCCTTTGTAGAACAAGCTATGTTTTAAAGTGTAATAAACTCTTGCTATTAACTCCAGGCAGGAGTATGAACACTCCAATCCCAATGACCGAGTATTATTTATTCATACCGGTTTGGGGTGACGTTACGTAGTGAGAAACAAATTTTTTAATTTCCTTTCCTATTTGACTGCACCTCTAAATAAATGTCATTAAACAAGTTGGGTCTAAGCAGTGAAGGGTCTGCCAGACCCAGGACCTGTTACAAGAGTGTGCTGGTCAAAGGAAATTTGAGTCTTATTTTCTTCTCCTTCCAACAGTTCATAACCTTGTATGTGTGTCACTTTTAATAAAAGTCCCCCGAGAAACCCTAGAGGCCTGAGCTATTGCACACTGGGTGTTATCAAACTACTTATTCTGTCCTCAACAATAACACTGGCTGTCAGAAAGCAAAGGCATATCTGCCAAGAAACTCCCATTTCTGATTAATTCAAGAAGCAGCATTTGCACTTGGAAAATATTATTTCAAGCTTTTAAATACCACTAGATGAAAATTTCCATGTTCCTTCGGCATTCGGTGCTTTTGTTTCGCTTTCTTTCCATAGGAGTACACACATTTCTCTTGCAAAGTGTGGGTATTGCACCTCCCACCACCACTGCAAAATTAACCTGTTCTAAAGTCACTGCAAAAGGATAGTTCTCTTGCCACAACTATATTTGCATGGTTCCCATGTTACATGGACAATATTGCTTTCCTTTGTACGTAGCTAATGACATCTGTAGACAGTGCAAACATGCCAGTAAGGTACAACATACCGTATTTTTCGCACCATAGGGCGCACCGGACCATAGGGCGCAACTAGTTTTTAGACGGGGAAATCAATAAAAAAAATCTTCCCCCCCCCCAGCCCCAAAGAGCAGCATACAGGCTGCGCACAACCTCTCCCTGCCGGAGGGGTTGTGCGCGGCTATGGCACAAGCCAAGGCAGCCAGCGGGATGGATCCCGCTGGCTGCTTTGGCTCCCTCTTTAGCCCCGCGCAATCCCTCCCTGCCAGGAGAGGCTGCGTGGAGCTAAAGAAGCCATAGCCCCGTGCAGCCTCTTCCTGCCGGAGGGGTTGCGCACGGCTATGGCACAAGCCTGCATTCTCTCCATAGGACGCACACACATTTCCCCTCAGTTTTTGGAGGGGAAAAACTGCATCCAATGGAGCGAAAAGTACGGTAACTGCATTTTTGCTAAATAGGCCAACCAATCAGAACACTGCACAGCCAGGTGGAGAGGTGGCTTACGGACTGTGAAAAGGCTGATCACCGAACAACTCTCCACCTGCTGCTGTCTCTTTCCGCTGCCCACTCTCCCCAGTCGGATTCCTCCCCTTCGGATCTCCCCCCTTCCTCCTCTTCGGAGGCTGGAAATCCCACAAACTCTTCTTCATAGTCAGCCATCATTCTGCACAGGGAGCTAAGCAGTGGTGGTGGTGTTACAGGTTTCTAAAATTGTCAATGCTGTGATTAAATAGATTGGCAAGCTGGGCTATTTTGTGTCAGTATTCACTAGTACAGAGTACTGGCACCTTTTTTGTGCATCCATTTTGTGTTGGTACCCACGGCAGTCGTATCAAAATATGAGTATCATCACCTAATTTTGTTTTTAAACACCCCCTCCCCAAAGCACTTATCAGCAGTAGGTTCAGAACAATTAAGTTCTATTTCACATGATGCATAACTAATTTGTAGAACTCACTGCCGCAAGATCTGGTGATGACTTCTGGATAAGGTGGCTGGATTAAACAGAACATACAACATCGATCTGTCAATGGTTATTGGCTTTTTAATAACATGCTGGGGGCAGAAAATGGGAGAGGGTTGCTGCATTTGTAGCTGGCTTAAGGGAGTTCCTAGAGACATCAGCCTGGCTGTTGTTAGAAGCAGGATGCTGAATTGGGTGAGCTTCCTGACTTGCATCCAGCTGTGCACGTGGTGTTTCACTTGTGGAATGGGATATTCCCCCTCTTCTCCTCCCCCTGCATGCCCCCAAAATCTGCCCTGGAAGGTCTCCCAGCCCTCTGAAGCAGATTTTGAGGGTGTTTGGGGCTGTCTGAAATTAAAAGATGCCTGCTTCTTGGGAGAAAAGCAAAAGAAAAGGAAGTCGCTTAAGTGAAACGGCAGCATAGGATACAGCCCTCTGAGCAGATTTTGTCTTGTGTAGCAGTTAACTTGGTTTTACATTTTTCTTTCACTTTTGACTGTAAACAGTTTCAATTTTTTTTAAAAAAAAGGCTGGAAGGAAAAATAACAATTTCAGATTTGATATAATTTCCTACTGGACATTTGCATGAAGGAAGTGTAATGGGTACACCTGTGAACCTTTTTGGTGAGGGCAACCTTTCGGAAACCAGCTCTGGGAACCTGCATGTTCCCTGGAAACCAGAAATGCATTGCGTGAGAGCCCTTGCCAGACCACTCTTGATCCTTTCGAAGCCAGGAAAAACCCTGCAGGCAGAAGTGCTGGGTCCCTTCCCACTTTCCTCTTGTTTTCTCTTACTGGTTATTTAATGCCGCTTCCTCATCAAAAGTTTGGAGATTGTTAAAAGATGGAACGATGAGAAGAGCTAAGCAGATGGCAAACAGAGCTAGACCCAAAATGGGGGCTGAAAAGTTGGAAGCTGCTTTCCTGCGGCAGCCCATGAGCCGTACACTGCAATGTCCTGCATATACAAATATAAATCTATATTTGAGTTACTACAGATAAGGGATTCTGAAATCCTAATGTGGAGAAATGGTTGTTCCTGTTGTTAAACAATTGGAAGGCAGAAACCACCCAGCGATGTTCCAGTAGATCCTCCTTTATCTTCTGCTCAGAAGCAACTGCAGCAGTCACTACAGAAGGGATTTAGCATAGTCACTGTTGTTGTTGTTTAGTCATTTAGTCGTGTCCGACTCTTCGTGACCCCATGGAGCAGAGCATAGAACATCAAAAAAACTAAGATCATGGCCACTGGTCCCATCTCCTCCTGGCAAATAGAAGGGGAAGAAATGGAGGCAGAGAGAGATTTTACTTTCTTGGGCTCCATGATCACTGCAGATGGGGACAGCAGTCACGAAATTAAAAGACGCCTGCTTCTTGGGAGAAAAGCAATGACAAACCTAGACAGCATCTTAAAAAGCAGAGACATCACCTTGCCAACAAAGGTCCGTATAGTTAAAGCCATGGTTTTCCCAGTAGTGATGTATGGAAGTGAGAGGTGGACCATAAAGAAGGCTGATCACCAAAGAATTGATGCTTTTGAATTCTGGTGCTGGAGGAGACTCTTGAGAGTCCCATGGACTGCAAGAAGATCAAACCTATCCATTCTGAAGGAAATCAGCCCTGAGCGCTCACTGGAAGGACAGATCGTGAAGCTGAGGCTCCAATACTTTGGCCACCTCATGAGAAGAGAAGACTCTCTGGAAAAGACCCTGATGTTGGGAAAGATGGAGGGCACAAGGAGAAGGGGACAACAGAGGACAACAAGCACTTAATATTGTTCCATAGTTACCAGGCCGTTTAAAAGGGAGCATGGGTGTGCAAGGCTACCTGTAGAGCCTTTGGTCTCAAGCCTTAGACATGATTAAGGATCTGCCGTCCAGCTTTTCCAGATTCCTTCCACATAGGAAGAAACCAATGGTGGCTTGGATTAGGAGCTGCATGTGTTTATTTCTCTGAGAACAGGATAAGAAAAAGTCCCAGGTACACTTGAGAACATTTCGTTCCCTCGGTGCTGTTGTCACTCCATCTGGCGGTCATTTGAAGTAGAGCTGCATCTGGAACATTTCTCAGGAAAGAGCTGGAGGAAGGAAGGCAACCAAAAATAACAAACAAGCAAAAATTAGAGAGCAGTGTGAATCCTGACCTTGGGGGAGAGGGGATTATCTTAAAACCTATTGTACTAGGTTCACGCTTAATTTTATTTGCAAGTCTGTAATTAGTCTAATCTGTATTTCCTCTGCAGCAATCTAGAGAGCAGCTTTTCTGCTTTGCAGAACCTTTTCTTTTTATGGTTTTAGCCTTTTAACTCTGAATTCTTTGTGCAGCCGGGGTTTACGTAGCTGTTTGGTGAAGGGGAGTCATTTTATTTCACTTCTGAATCCCTTTCAATGGGGCATTCTGAAGCAGTTTACAATATAAAAACATATATAAAGCAGGTACGTATCTAAAAACAGCCAAAGCAATTGCATATATGAAAACAAAAACAAAACAAAACCCCCAATGAGAATACGTACAGTGGATGCTTGGGTTGCAAACGTGATCCGTGCGAGATGCACCCCATGTTTGTGCACACATGGATTGCGATTTGCCGCTTCTGCGCATGCGCAAAGTGCAATTTAGCGCTTCTGCGCATGTGTAACCTGTTCCGGTACTTCCGGGTTTCGGCAGTCTGCAACCCGAAAAAATGCAACCTGAAGCGGCTGTAACCCGAGGTATGACTGTATTTAAAAAGCTGTTTAGAAAGGACCTGGACAGCTTATGCAAATTTGTGCTGGCATCTAGTTCAAAATTATGTTTCTGCCATTTCACTTTTTTTTTTACCCACCCCTCCTGAAACATCTGCCCTAGTGTA